ATCTCTAATTTTCTTGAATAGATCTCTAGTCTTTCCCATTCTATTGTTTTCCTCTATTTCTTTGCATTGATCACTGAGGAAGGCTTTCTTATCTCTCCTTGCTGTTGTTTGGAACTCTGCATTCAAATGGGTATATCTTTCCTTTTCTCCTTTACCTTTAGCTTCTCTTCTTTTCTCAGCTTTTTTTAAGGCCTCCTCAGACAACCATTTTGCCTTTTTGCATTTCTTTCCCCTGGGGATGATCTTGATCACTGCCTCCTGTAGGATGTCATGAACCTCCATCCATAGTTCTTCAGGCACTCCATCTATCAGATCGAATCCCTTGAATCTATTTGTCACTTCCATTGTATAATCATAAGGAATTCGATTTAGGTTATACCTTAATGATCTAGTGACTTTCCCTACTTTTTTCAATTTAAGTCTGGATTTGGCAATAAGAAATTCATGATCTGAGTCACAGTCAGCTCCTGGTCTTGTTTTTGCTGACTGTATAGAGCTGCTCCATTTTTGGCTGCAAAGAATATAATCAATCTAATTTCAGTATTGACCATCTGGTGAGAGTCCATGTGTAGAGTCTTCTCTTGTGTTGTTGGAAGAGGGTGTTTGCTATGACCAGTGTGTTCTCTTGCGAAACTCTGTTAGCCTTTGCCCTGCTTCATTTTGTATGTACTCCAAGGCCAAATTTGCCTATTACCCCAGGTATCTGTTGATTTCCTAGCTAGAGTTTACAGAGTCAGGAAGGAGTATGTGATAAGGATCGAGGCAGTACTAGTCTTGTATTTTTCTTTCTTCTGCAATGTTTCTAAAGGGTAGAATTGCTGACAAGATTAGTGTATGTGCAGAGTCTTAGGTGGGATTCCCTGGTGGCTCAGATGGTAAAGAACCTGCCCCCAATGGAGGAGGCCTGAGTTTGATCACTGAGTCCGGAAGATCTCCTGGAGGAAGAAATGACAACCCACTCCACTGTTCTTGCCTGGAAAGTCCCATGGATGGGGGAGTCTGGCGGGCTACCGTCCATAGGTTCGCAAAGGTGGGGACGACTGAGGGGCTGCACTTTCACATTCAGGGTCTTAGGTGGTTCAATCTCCTCATCTTGATGAGTCTCTCTGGTCCCTTTAATCTTGCTTCAGGTGGTTTCCTGGCTGTTCCACCTTTAATTAATAACAGTTCTGCCGTTTTCAACTCAGGTCACAGAGGCTGGAGTCTTATTTATAAGAAATGGGGGACAAAAAGACCCCCATGCCTAGAAGCCCCATAGGGCCCTGCTCAGCATCAGAAGCACTCAGAGGACCAGGTATAGAGTTGTAGAGTTGTACTTACGGCTAACATCGACTACAGCAGTGTAATAAGGACACACTGGATCATAAGAGAGGACTGCAGGCTGAGTCTGAAAAAAACCTTTGAATAGGCTTTCTTATGCCCACTCCCTCTCATGACGGATCACACTAAGCACACTTTCCCCAGCAACACAAAAACAGCATGCGAGCCTTGTCTCTGTCTAGAGAACCTACTCATTAGAAACTCGGCACCCACAGTTTTTACTGGGGGCAGGTTACCTGTGCACTCTCTGCCTGGCATGTTTGAAAATTCCAGACTCTCAGAAGGAAAGCAGGTATTTAGCACAAACCATACTGCGTTCAGTTTGTGCATGGTCTACATTCATTAATTAGAATCTTACTATAGGAAGAGCTGTCCTTTCTTCCCTGTTTATTCAATTGTGGTATCTACAAGGACACGTGGGCTTTTAACTTGTTCAGCGGTTGTAATCTACTATCAATTACTCAAAATATATGTACATGCACACACACACACACATAACATATAAATATAATTTTTATTTTCCTAAGGGTGGGTTGCCCAATGCTCTGGACCGCTGGACCTTGTAGTGGCGTCCCCTTTGAGATCCGGAACTTTCTCGTTCGACTCAAGTTGTCTAGGGAAGTTTTAGGCGGTGATGCCTATCAGCAGACCGGCAACCAAGGGGACGGCGTGGGGGAAAAGGGACTGAAGACGGAGGTGGGCGGAGTGGAAGGGTGAGGGTCCCAGCCAGGGAGCTGTGTGGCAGTTGGACACTGAACTTGGGCCTGAGTTGAGGCGGGTGGTGTCGGGTGCCAAGAGAGGGAGGGGCAAGTTCCAAGCCGCCGCTGGGCCGGAACTGGGGACCAGAAAGCGGAGGAATGAACCAGATTGGACCACTAAGGGACTGGGCGGGGGAAGGAGAGGGGCGGGGCCTCGGCTGCGCCGGCCCGGAGGGGGCGGAGCTGATTCCAGGCCGAAGCCAACTGCCGAAGCCAACTGCCGGTCCCAACCGCCCGCGGGTTGCGGCTTGCGAGCNGAGTGGCTTTAGAGGAGTTTATTCCCCTCTGTGGGTCTGAGAATCCCATTGTGTACCATGAGAAGAGTTTGGACCATAGGATCTTCAAAGACCTAACATATAATGAGAGCTTCTTAAGTATTCGTTGTTAGGTGTGAATAAAATAGGGAAGTCCCCCTTGGGGTTCACTGGAGGCTGTTTGCTGTACTGGATTAATTGGAGTCTGTGGAATTATATTGTTGTTCAAGCTTGAGAAATAGGTGGCATTTTCTCCCTTGCAAGTGAGGAAACTGAGGCTCAGAAGTAAATTGTATTTGCTAATAAGTGTCAAAGCCAAGTCAGTCTTGAAGTCCATGTTACACTATACTTCCCAATAAGAGAGCAGGGAAATCTTGATTGAAAGGTGATTATATGGAGCAGTAGTTAGTAGTGTTGAGTTCTCTGCTGAAATGAACAACCCCAGTCAGTTCAGTTGCTCAGTTGTGTCCACTCTTTGCGACCCCATGGACTGCAGCAGACAAGGCTTTCCTGTCCATCACCAACCCCTGGAGTTTGGTCAAACTCATGTCCATCAAGTCGGTGACACCATCCAACCATTTCATCCTCTGTCGTCCCCTTCTTCTTCCGCCTTCAGTCTTTCCCAGCATCAGGGTCTTTTCCAGTGAGTCAGTTCTTCACATCAGGTGGTCAAAGTATTGGAGTTTCAGCTTCAGCATCAGCCCTTCCAATGAATATTCAGGACTGATTTCCTTTAGGATTGACTGGTTGGATCTCCTTGCAGTCCAAGGGACTCTCAAGAGTCTTCTCCAACACTATATCTGATTTTTCTCTGTCTCTAGCTCCTGGCACATCATTTGTGTGAAATAGTTTGGGTATTGATGCCACAGCCACCACGTGTGTTACCGTTGCCATCAACATGATCAGCATAGTTAGTAAACAGTGATAAGGACTCTAATTGTTACAGTGATAGCAAAACCATAAATGAAATTGTGAAGGCATCTGAATTTATACTTTTGTTTACATAGTGCCTTAAAGTTAATGAAGCACTTTTGAATGGTTCTTCGTTCAGTCATCTTAGGTAAGTATTATTGTCATCCACATTTTATAAGCAAGGAATCCAAAACCTGGATTAAGTGACTAGTGCAAGGTCACACAGTAAGGAAGTTGTGCTTTTCCTTATGTGTTCTATCCATTCCCTGTCCCTTTCTTTTTTCCTGGTCCTCCGTGCCCATTCCTATACTTGTTCTGTGCTTTATTCTTATCACCCAGACACATTCTATTTTGATGTTGACCAGTAATCTTGTGTTGGCTGATGATTAATAGTATTGATATTAACTCATATCCTTATAAGAGTTTAAAATGTGATCTCTCCCAGAGGGACGGAGGGATTTAAATACTGTAAAGAGGGTAGTTGTAATTGTGGTTGTTGTCTTCATCCTCCTCTTCCACAGGTTTCAAGGAGTAACACTAGAATATGTAGTGATTGACAATCCAAAAATAACAGCTGTCATATATTGAGCTCATATTGTGTCATGGGCCCTGTAACAGCCATTTACACTTTTTACCTCAATTCTTTCAGCCATTCTACTGAATGACTTTCAGCCAAAACTACTGAATTTTGTAAATGAGGATCTAGCAGTTAAATTACAGGCCCAAGTTCATGTAGTCCTGGCTTGGCCCAAACCTTATTTTCTAAACCATTACACAGCCTGATCCTCTGGCAGGAGAGCCTGAATTAAGGAGAGGTGTACTCAAGTATGGTGTGAGGAAGACAGTTGAGAACCCAGAATTGGAGTGAGAGGAGGTTTTTCTTCTGGACTTAGGAGGCCACCTCCCCATCCTTTTGGATAGTGAGCTGTGAGTCTTCTCACTTGAGGTTAGAAACCAGTGAAATGAATTATTCACATGCTGAGTGAATTCACATGCTAAATAAATCACTCATATGCTGTGAATGACAAAACTTGTCTTGACTGACACTAGGAACCTACAGCCCAAAGCAGTGTAACTTTCCCCTTCAGTTCATTGTCCAGAAGGCTACCTGAGAGAGTGGTCTGAAATGTGTACTTGATCTTGGCATTCATCTGCCAAAACCTGTTGAGTGGCTCTCTACCCATGGGATAAACACATAAATAAGGTATTGAAGCCTCCCAGGATTTGCCCTCGCCTGACTCCTTCAGTGCCATCTTTGTTCACAGCTTTTGCACTCCACTGTAGTCATACTGGATTACTCTGAGTCCCTACAGCTCACAGTGTGCCTCTGATCTTTAGGCTTTTCATATCCACTCCCTCCCCTCTTCTCCTTTTTACCCTTCAGTTGGCTAACCCACTGTTCGGCCTTTAAGGTCAAACTCACCCATTCATTCAAACAGTCAACAAATATTTGTCAAGCCTATGAATTACCAGGCAGGGTTTTAAGTGTAGAGGCATAGCAGTGAGTAAAACAGTCATGTACATGCCCTTTATGGAACTTCTATTCTGTAGGGCATATTAAATAAGTGTAACATATGGGTGATGATAGGTGGCATGGAGAACAGAGCAGAGAAGGGGGATAGAGAGGGACAAGGGAGTTGTCAGGGAAGGCCTCACTGATTGGATGATGTTTGAGTAGAGCTGAAGAAGGTGAGGGAGTGAGGTGTGTGCCTATCTGATTGCCCCAGGCCCAGAGCATAAGGATATGAAACAGGGGATCACTTGACTTACTAGCTTTTCAAAACTGCACTGCTGCCTTGATCTGGACGGTTGCTTTTTTTCTGTTTTCCTGCACGCTCTCATGTTGACCTCTTAAAGCAGCAGTTACTACATGATATTGTAATTGTCAATGTATATATATCTGTTCCCCTCACCTGGATGTGGGCAGGGACCTCTGATCCCTTTCTGTCTCTCCTCAGCACCTGCCTTATGGCCTGACTTCCAGTGGGCACTCAGAAATATTTATTAAATAAATGAAAAAGGCCTTGTGGGTCTCATTCTTACAGCCTGATTATTTTTACAAATGATTTGGAAGACAGGGCTTGGACAACAAGTGGTGAGAGAAAAAATAATAATTCTAAGCTTGATTCTGTCTGTCTGGCTTCCCTTTTTGGGCCTCTGAGAAATTGAACACCTGAGAAATGTACCTAGTTCCATTTTCAGCATTATAGCAAGCTAGCTAACCTGTAAAATGGTGGATAAGTATAACAAAGCCTTTTATAGTTGAATTTCCAAGAAAGCAAGAGAAATCCCCAGGGGCCTAAAAATTTCAAGAGTAAACTGAAAACTGGAGAAGTTGGCCCCTTTATGTGACCTCAGCTGCCCTAGATGTTTGCTGGTCTCGCTTACCTCAAAGCTTGGGCTTTAATATACCTGCTGTTTCAGTGAATGACACTATAGGCCCATTTGTGTTAGACTCTGATTGGAACTGAGATCCCTGCATGAAGCCAGGTACCTTGAAAATCTATATCCTCTGATCAAGTGGAGTAGGAAAAAGAAATCTTACTACTGACAGAGATGACAAAGAAGATTGCTTCTTATTGTAGGCTCCAAGAGAAGGGAAAAGTTTGACTGGAGTATTCTGAACCAGAGGCATTCTCTCGTATGGATTTGGGTTTATATATATATTACCTGAATGGCCTAAAAACTCCAAGCCAGGAAATTGACTATTAGAAACCATCCAGGCTGGTAATGCCTCTGAATGCTCGGCATAAGCACATACAGAATCTCTCTGGAGAGACACCTGACACAGGCTACACAGGATTCCCACAGAGCCTGGAGTATAGACTTGTTAGATGAGGATGCATATTGCTTGCTTTGTGCTTTTGAGATCGTGATGTTGCTTTTGTATAAAAAAAATAAATGTTTGAGTACATCTTTGCCTCCCGGTGACCTCCAGAAATGAAATGATAGAGCAGAACTTGTGTCCAAGCAAGCCTTTGGATGTGGACACACACTGAGCTCCCTCCTATCCTTGCAGAGGTCATGGAAGAAGTGACATCATGCTCCTTCAGCAGCCCTCTGTTCCAGCAGGAGAACAAGAGAGGGGTCACCTACCGGATCCCAGCCCTGATCTACGTGCCCCCTGCCCGCACCTTCCTGGCCTTTGCAGAGAAGCGCTCCTCGAGCAAGGATGAGGATGCTCTCCACCTGGTGCTGAGACGAGGGTTGAGGACTGGGCACTCAGTACAGGTGACTCCTTATCCCAGATCTGAGCCTGGGTCTCATATTCTGCATTGCTCAGAGCATGTCAGAGTCTGTGCCTTTTTCATCAGTGCAGGAAAAGCCTTGTGTCCAAGCTGAGGAGGGGGAAAAAAAAGCAGTAAAAGCAATGCTTTCCCTTATTGAATACTTACTGTTTACCAGGGGCACATTGAATCTCACAGCCACTCTGTGACATAGAAACTTGTCAGTCACATTTTACAGATGAGGAAACTGAGGCTCAGAGTGATTGCTATTTGCTAAAGGTCAAACAGCTATAAAAAAGCAGTAAAGCAAGCTTCAAACCCAGTCTCTGAATAGAGGCCTCCATGGTTTGTGTATTCAGTTCAGCCAGCATGTGGTGTGCTTTTCATTCACATTCTCTTTTATTCTCATAAGTCACTGAAAGCAGTAAGCATTGTTAGTCCAGTTTTGCTGATGAGGGATCCTGGTGCTCCAACAGATAGGTAGCTTGTTCAGGACCACAACTAGCAAAAGACGCAGTGGAAGGAAACAACATCTATATTCTCCCCTGTCTTCCCTTTCCTCATCTTCCTTCATGCTTTATGTGAGGTACATATTATCCCCATTTTATAAGAAGTAAAGTGACTTGCCTTAGGCACACAGTTAATAAATAGAGAACTGGGGTTGGTGCCCTTGTCCCTAGGTAGCACATTTTTACTGTATTCTTAATGGGGGAGAGAATAGTTACTGCCCTTGGGCCTGTGAACTACAGGGTTAGTTTAGAACCCATTTTTGCTATTGTTGACTTATCTCTCAGAGATGGCTGAAGTGAGGATCAAGTGAGACAGTGAATTTGAATAAATACACACATAATCATACATACCTTTTTTTATGAGGTATTTTAATCTGCTTAACCTGCCCTGCTTTTTCTACTCTCAGAAATCTCACCTTTAAAACTTCATGTCCTTAGGGATGCTTTGCTTTGCTGTTTTAGTGCAAATGCTGTTCTGCTGAAGGTGGGCCTTACAAGCAAGCCCTGGCTGCTTTTAATGCTTTACTCACATTTCCCCTTGGGGAAGTTTTTTACTTTAGGGAATTTCCATTCCCTGCTCTTACACCTTATCATGTGTCTTTCTTATGGCCTCCCAGGGTTGAACCTCTGCTTATATCACTGGTGTCCTTCAGCCCAACTTGGAGTTCTAGCTCTTTTGTTTCCTCCGGGGCAGGATGTGCCTGTGGTTATGTTACTCTGCTTTTTGCCACAGACAGTTGGGCAGTTAAGTTTTTTTTATCAGACCATACCTGTTACATAACCTCACTATCCAGTAGTCACATTCAGTCACAGATGTGTCCACTTTAACTCATTCTTTCTTGACTTTATTTTATTCACATTCATTCTCTTTTCACTTCATTTTATTCACATTCATTCTCTCATTTACTTAATTGTAGAATCTTAAAATTAGAAGAAGTATCAGCCCAGCTTCTTTCCCAATATAGAAATCTTCTGTATTCCATTGGTTGCTACTAGTAGCTTAGTGTTTAAGAGCATGGCTTTGGAGTCAGGCAAGACCTATCATATATTGACTCTGACTGTGAATACTTAACTCTTCTCTGTTTCATTGTCTGTGAAATATAATTAATAATAGCAGTTCCATAGTAGGAACTCAACATTAGTCATCTTCTATTAAGGATCTACTTACACAGCTCCTCGAATGAGAAATTTAATCCTGTGGCAACTGTTAACTTATTTTTTGAAATGAGATCCTCTGTCAGTTCAGTTCAGTTCAGTCACTTAGTCGTGTCCGACTCTTTGCGACCCCATGAATCGCAGCATGCCAGGCCTCCCTGTCCATCACCAACTCCCAGAGTTTACTCAAACTCATGCCCATTGAGTCGGTGATGCCATCCAGCCGTCTCATCCTCTGTCATCCCCTTTTCCTCCTGCTCCCAATCCCTCCCAGCATCAGGGTCTTTTCCAATGAGTCAACTCTTCGCATGAGGTGGCCAAAGTACTGGAGTTTCAGCTTCAGAGATCCTCTGTACTTGTCTGTAATTAACCTGTTGGTCTTGTTATGCCTTATGGGGAAGTACATCTGTACATTATAAAGTTCCTTTTGTGGAGAACTGCTCTTTGATGTATCTGAAAGCAGTATCCACACCCTCCAGGTTTTCTTTCTTTTAGCAGCTCCTTAGGCCACAGTCTTGATTTGATTTCTGGTCTTTGAAAACTGTGATTACAGTCCTGGTGTGGGAGATCATTGTCTTTTTGCAAAGTATGGTACTCATACTGAACTTATGACCCCAAGGATAGATTGACCAGCTCAGCAGTGGGGTGGCTATCCCATCTGTTATCCTTTTAATGCAGCCTAGGGTAAAGTAGCATTTATTTTTTGGTAGCTGCTTAAATGTTAAATAGATGGTCAACTAAAACCTTCAAGACCTTTTCAGATTTTTTTTTTGTTCTTTTAAAAACATTTTTAGTTATGGTAATATGCACCTAATGTAAAACTTTCCATCATAATCATTTTTAATTTGGCCTCACAGGGTCTCAGTTGTGGCAGGTGGCATCTTTAGTTGCAACATGCGAACTACTAGTTGTGGCACATGGGATCTAGTTCCCTAACCAGGGATCAAACCCAGGACCCCTGCATTGGGAGCTAGGAGTCTTGGCCACTGGACCACCAGGGAAATCCCTCCATCATAACCATTTTAAGTATACATTGTGGTATTGTTAACTGTATTACATTGTTGTGTAACAGGTCTCTAGAATTTATTCATTAGTGTATAACCATAACTTTATAGAACAACTAATTTTCCCCTCCCCAATCCCCTAGAGATTAATACTGTACTTTGTTTCTGTGAGTTTGTTTACTTTAGATGTTTCATATAAGTGGAATCATGCAATATTTTGTCTTTCTGTGATTGGCTTATTTCACAAGGTAGTATCCTCAAGGTTCATCCATGTTGTAGAATATGTCAGGATTTCTTTGTAAAGGCTGAATAATTTGTATGTTAATCTATTATTTCACTTATCCAGTTTGTTTAGCTCTTCATCCCTTTTATCTTATCCACTCATTGGCTGGTGGCCACTTGAGTTGCTCCCACCTTTTGGTTATTGTGAATAATGCTACTATGGAACAAGAAGGTGCATGAAAATGTCTCTTCAAGACTGTTCTTTCAGTTATTTTGTGTACAGACCTAGAAGTTGAATTGCTGAGTTATGTGGTTGTTGTTGTTCAGTCACTCAAGTCTTCTACAACTCTTTGAGACCCCATGGACTGCAGCATGCCAGGCTTCCCTATCCTTTACTATCTCCCAGAGTCTGCTCAAACTCATGTCCATTGAGTTGATGATGCCATCCATTCATCTCATCCTCTGTCACCCCCTTCTCCTCCAGCCTTCAGTCTTTCTCAGCATCAGGGTCTTTTCCAGTGAGTTGGCTGTTCATATCAGGTGGGCAAAGTATTGGAGCTTCAGCATCAGTTCTTCCAATGAATATTTAGTGTTGATTTCCTTTAGGATTGACTGGTTTGAGCTCCTTGTTGATTTCCTTTAGGATTGACTGGTTTGATCCTCCTTGCTGCCGAAGGGACTCTCAAGTGTCTTCTCCAGTACCACAGTTCCAAAGCATCAATTTCTCGGTGCTCAGCCTTCTTTATGGTCCAACTCTGACATCCATACGTGACTATTGGAAAAACCATAGCTTTGACTAAATGGACAATCCTTATCCATCAGAGGGCAGACAGAATGAAAACCACAATCACAGAAAACTAATCAAACTGATAACATGGATCACAGCCTTGTCTAACTCAATGAAACTATGAGCCATGCCATGTAGGGCCACCCAAAATGGACGGGTCATGGTGGAAAGTTCTGACAAAACGTGGTCCACTGGAGAAGGGAATGGCAAACCACTTTTAAGTATTCTTGCCTTGAGAACCCTATGAACAGTATGAAAAGGCAAAAAGATATGACACTGAAAGATGAACTCCCCAGATCAGTAGGTGCCCAATATGCTATTGGAGAACAGTAGAGAAATAACTCCAGAAAGAATGAAGAGGCTGAGCCAAAGTAAAAACAGTTCCCAGTTGTAGATGTGACTGGTAATGGAAATAAAGTCCGATGCTGTAAAGAACAGTATTGCATAGGAACCTGGAATGTTAGGTCCATGAATCAAGTCAAATTGGAAGTGGTCAAACAGGAGATGGCAAGAATGAACATCGACATTTTAGGAATCAGTGAACTAAAATAGACTGGAATGGGCAAATTTAATTCAGATGTCCATTATATCTACCAGTGCAGACAAGAATCCTTTCAAGGAAATGGAGTAGCCCTCAGAGTCACAAAAGAGTCCGAAATGCAGTACTTGGGTGCAGTCTCAAAAATGACAGCATGATTGCTGCTCGTTTCCAAGGCAAACCATTCAGTATCACAGTAATCCAAGTCTGTGCCGCCACCACTAATGCCGAAGAAGCTGAAGTTGAATGGTTCTGTGAAGACCTACAAGACCTTCTAGAACTAACACCCAAGAAAGATGTCCTTTTCATCATAGGGGACTGGAATGCAAAAGTAGAGACACAATCAAGAGATACCTGGAGTAACAGCTAAGTTTGGCCTTGGAGTACAAAATGAAGCAGGGCAAAGGCTAACAGAGTTTTGTGAAGAGAACGCACTGGTCATAACAAACACCCTCTTCCAACGACATGAGAGATGACTCTACACTCGGACCTCACCAGATGGTCAATACTGAAGTCAGATTGATTATATTCTTTGCAGCCAAAAATGGAGAAGCTCTATACAGTCAGCAAAAACAAGAATGGGACTGACTGTGGCACAGATCATGAACTCCTTATTGCCAAATTCAGACTTAAAGAAAGTAGGGAAAGTCACTAGACCATTCAGGTATGACCTAAATCAAACGCCTTATGATTATACAGTGGAAGTGACAAATAGATTCAAGGGATAGATCTGATAGAGTGCCTGAAGAACTATCGGCGGAGTTCGTGACATTGTACAGAAAGCAGTGATCGAGACCATCCCCAAGAAAAAGAAATGCAAAAAGGCAAAATGGTTGTCTGAGGAGGCCTTACAAATATCTGAGAAAGGAGAAGCGAAAGGCAAAGGAGAAAAGGAAAGATATACCCATTTGAATGCAGAGTTCCAAACAATAGCAAGGGGAGGTAAGAAAGCCTTCCTCAGTGATCAGTGCAAAGAAATAGAGGAAAACAAGAGAATGGGAAAGACTAGAGATCTCATCAAGAAAATTCGAGATACCAAGGGAACATTTCATGCAAAGATGGGC